CTTAAAAATTAATTCTCATAAGTGTTTTGGGGGGAGGGGTTGTCCGGGAAGTTTTTGTCCGTTTATCACTACTGCCTGAACGTTCGACTTTATTTCGCCATTTCTTTACAAATACTGGACAAAAAAAGTTATCGATAGTGACATTTCGGCATTTGTCCGAACAGGTTTTTGTTCGATCCTGGCCAGACGCTTGCGGAGAATACATAATGGATTACGTCACTTTGCTGCATATCCCATAATTTATTCGTTGCTGTCTCTTGTCAATAGTGGATTATCGCGATCGAGGGTGTCGAAGGACATAAAATTTAAGAACCAGCTTTTCATTTCTCTTCATAGGTTTGAACAGTCTTTAAGGTTCTCTACTTGTGTGCTGGAGGCACAATATGCTCATTCTTGGTGACCTGACATAGAAGATGATTTTAAGAGTCCAGCTTTTGCTGAGTATAAATCTGATTACTTCTATGTGTTTTAGCCTGTCTTTGTTCAGCCCTGATCAGTGATGTAGTTTTGCATCCGTGCAATGCAGGTGCTAAAATACCACAGACTCAGGTTATGTTTAAGAAATATGTAATCCCATGACCTGCTTAAGCCAATAGACTTTCACTTACAGAGGAACAAAACGAAGTGTATCTAGGACAGATAATCTCTGCAACGGAAAATTGACTCTGCAAAATCAATCTAAAAATTAAATGGCATGGAACACTTTCGGAAGATTGAAAATGTTCCCATTCGGGAAACTGCGCATGTGTTTGAAACGAAATGTTTTCGATTAGTGCTGTCCTATGGATCTGAAACCTGTGCTCTGCGAAAATTGAGAGGTATGCATAAACTCAGCGCAGCATTAAAAGATATATGTCAAGAATAACAGGAAAAGCAGAAAGGCTATTGAATAGGTAAGAGCCAAAGAGGAGTTTGATCTGTCATTCCTCCTGTGAAGAAACTGAAATGACAATATGCAGGGTACGTTGCAAGAAGAATCGATCATAGCTCGACCGCATGACATTAGACCCACATCTAAGTGAGAGTAAACGGCCTGTGGGAGGCCGCCCAGATCGACATCGAATGAGCTGAAGAAGTGCGTAAAATCAAGATGGATAAAAATCACAGATGACAGAAGTTCATGGCAAAGTCTTGGACAGGTTTTCCAGCAAAGATTCGAAAAAAAAGTGACGATAAGGATTATATTAAAAAAAATGGATCATGATTTAAGTTGAAGAACGAAGTTATGATGCAAAATATGTTAGTTAAAATAGATTGCCGAAAAGACCAGTTAGAAACATTGATGTTGCGCTATATTTTTCAGGGAGCTGGCTGAATAGATGACTTGGCTTCAGTGGTGAACAAGTTCACAAGAATGCGTGGAGTTGCAGCGGATTCCGCGAAAGCATTTTGGCTTATGGCTGCAGCTGCTTCATTTTTAACGTATGACCGATCAATACATTCAAAGTGACATGTGGTCCGCCATA